CTGAGCTCAAACTCACAACCCTTGTGCATCAGCCTCCATGTACTGCGATCTCACTGTGCACTTCCCTGCCTGGCTGTACATTTTATTTTTTACTTTTAGTTAAAAAAACTTGAAATACTGTGTAGGTTTTTTAATTTTTATTTTATTTTATTTTATTTTTTTGGTACTGGGAATCCCAACTCTGGACCTTGCGCTTGCCAGGCAGGCGCTTATGCCACTGAGCTATAGCCCCAGCCCTGTCTAGGCTTTTTAAAAATTGCTGGTAGACAGTTTTAAATATCAAATAAAACATTTTTTTACTCTCTTAGAAATGCTTTTTTTTTTTTGTTTTCCAATCAGATTTTATTGGTATGTTTCATTTTTTTATTTTTTTACAGTTGCATCTTTATTTTTTTATTTTTCTAATCAGATTTTATTGGTACTTTTTTTTTGGTCTTTTTGAGACAGGGTCTCGCTGTGCAGTTCAGGGTGACCTTGAGCTCACTTTGTAGCCCAGGCTGGTCGAACTCACAAGAGTCCTCCTGCCTCAGCCTCCTGAGTGCTGGGATTTTGGGCATGTACCACCACGCCCGGTTTATTGGTACGTTTTAGATATACATAATGATCACATTCATCAGAGAATTTGTATCTACATGATATAACTTTTTTTTTCCATTCTTCTTCCCTCCCTTCAACCCTTCCTCCCGTCCCCATTACAAAGCTTTGTTTTTGTTTCCATTTTTTCCTTCTTTTCTCATTTTTTAGTACTTTTCCCTTTCCTTTCCCCCTCCTCCTCTCTGTTTGAACATTTTCTCTTATTTCACAATATCTGTTAAACATTTTGGTCCTTATTTACACTTTTGGTTTTTCACACCAAAGAAACAGTGCGGTCTTTAAACGTGTGTCTGATTTATTTCACTTACGAGTATAGTCTCAAGATGCATCCATTTACCTAGACATGTCTCAAGCATATCCTTCTTTATGGTAGAGTAGTACTCCATTGTATAAAAGAACTGTATCTTCTTTATGCATTCATCAGGTGATGGGCATTTGGGTTGTTTCCAAGATTTGGCTATTACAAACTGTGCCACAGGGCTGGGGCTATAGCTCACTGGCATAAGCACCTGCCTGGCAAGCACAAGGTGCTGAGTTCAATTCCTGGTACAAACAAACTGTGCCACTATGAACATAGGTGTGCACATATTGCTGTGGTATGATGCTTTCAGTTCTTCTGGGAAGATACCAAGAAGAAGAGGAATAGCTGGGTTGAATGGAACCTCTAGTGCTAGTTTTTGTTTATTTTGTTTTTTATACCAGGACTCTAACTTTTCCCAGGTAGGTGCTGTGCCACGGAGCTAAATCCCTGGCCCCTTAGTCCTATTTTTCTGAGGAGTCTCCACACTGATTTCCACAGTGGTTGCACCAGTCTAAACTCCCACCAACAGTGGAGAAGGGTTCCTTTTCCCCCACAGCCTTGCCACCATTTGTTATTAGCTGTTTTCTTGATAATAGCTGTTCTTTCTTTCCTTTTTTTTTGTCTTTTTGATACAGGGTCTCACTATGCAGTTCAGGCTGGCCTTGAACTCACTTTGTAGCCCAGGCTGGTCTTGAACTCACAACGATCCTCCTGCCTCAGCCTCCTGAGTGCTGGGATTACAGGCGTGCGCCACCACGCCCAGCAGTTTGTTACTTCTTGTTTGATGACTACTTTCTTTTTTGGGCCATACTAACAACGAAAATTAAAAGCTGAAGTACTAATCTACATTATAGTTCTTTTGTTGAATTCATGAAATCAATTTGGGTTGACAGTTAACAGATTTGGGTGTTTTAATCCCTAGAATGCTGATTAATTGTCCATTACTGAGGTCTGGAATTCAAATCTTAATCTTAAATAGGTTTACCGAATCAAACTGAGCACTTCCACATAGCACTGCTGACGTTAGACAACTGAACACGTAATGTTCCTTATTACCAGGGAGCATTGAAATAGCGATTATAAAACCTACGTTCTGATCTCAGTTCTGCTCAGTAATCTTAGTTTAAAAAAAGTGTGTTTAATCTTTGTGAGCCGGTGCTTAACCATTTGTGCGATGAGAAGAAAGGCGGTATACCATTCAAGGCCTCTGCCAGGACTTCCTTTGGAGGACCTGTGAACGCTCAGGGGCAGAGGACAGGGTGGGCAGGGGAGACTGAGCTTCTCTTTCTGTTTCTTGAGGACTTTCTTCATTATCTTCATTTTATTCCCCTATCTGGTCTGTCTGCTAGTTGCCAAAGTTCCTATCCAAAAACTGCCCTTATTTATCCTTTAGGTGCTGGGTTAAAGTTGTCGTCCTCTCCGAAGTCACGGTGACACACATCGTTTTCCTCCTCTAAACACGCTTCTTGCCCTCCTGAGCGCCTCCTCCACTGCTCACGGCTCCGTCTGTCTTCCTTTTATACATTATCTCTAGGGAGTAGGTTAATGCTGCAGGGAAAGAGCAAGCTGAAGGTAAGCAGATGTAGCTATGTGATCTCTGGCTGCCCGGTTAAAAATACGTTGTGTTCAGTGTTTTAGTAAATAGTCCATTTTAAAAATAGCCCATTTTTAAATAGATTTTTCTTTTCCCCAAAAAATACTTTAAAAAGGTTGATTCAGTTAAAAAAAGGGTCTTCTCTCCCTGGGCTCTCATTGACTAAAGCCCTTACCCTGTAAGTAACTTGTTCCTGGTTTGTTTGTTTGTTTGTTTGTTTGTTTTGAGACAGGGTTGGGCTGGGGCTATAGTTCAGTGGCACAAGTGCCTGTCTGGCAAGCGCAAGGTCCTGAGTTCAATTCCTGATAACAAAAAAAAAAAAAAAAGACAGAGTCTATGTAGTTCAAGCTGGCCTTGGACTCACTAAGTAGCCCAAGCTGGCTTTGAACTCAACGGCAGTCCTCCTGCCTTAGCCTCCTGAATGCTCCATTACAGGCATGCACCAACACGTGCGGCCAGTTATTTGTTTCTTATGTATCCCACCACAGCTTACTTTCTTCTCCTTTTTCTTTTTTTGGTACCAAGAATCAATCTCAGGACCTTGTGCTTGCCAGGCAGGTGCTTGTACCCTTGAGCTGTATCCTTGGCCTGCTCCTTTTCTTTTTTTTTGAACAAAACATGGCATACTTTCTATACTCGTATGTACCTTTTTTTCATGTAGTTTATCTTGGAGATCTTTTCATGTCAGTACATAGTAACTTCCTCATGGTTTGTTAACATTTTATGATATTTTATAGTTTAACCGGTGGTTGGGAATTTTACCTAGTAAAGTCCCAGATGATTTCAAACTATGAATGAACTTTGAGCCTCATCTGAGAAGTGTGCTTTTCATTTCTCTAAAACTTACATTTCCATAGTACTTTACAGCTTATACAGTTTTGAAATTGATCCTCACAAAACTTCTTTGGGGTCAGTACTACAAGCCTTACTAGGTAGAGGGAAAAAAAGTCTGTTTAGGATTTTGCTGACTGTAGTGCAAAATTCTTCACCAGAGTCCTCACTCTGGTCTTTTCATACGCCCTACTGGCAGGCAGCATGTGCTTGAGAAGCCGCCTGCTTTGGAGGGCTGATAAAAATGTTCATTACTGCATTTATAACAGTAAATGTTGCAAATTTACCCCTTTACCTTACTTACTTCCTTAAAACCAATAGAGCATGTACAAAAAGATCTCCACATAAATGATGCTTTGAGAAACAAAACCAATTTAGAAAAAAGATATGCAAATGTTCTTTTTATAGATTAAAAATTTTAAATCTTAAAAATACCCTAACTGAAATATGTGTGTGCAGAAGAAGTGACTTGCTTAATGAACTTGAAAGTGTGTTCCTAAGATGAATATGACTCCTGAAGTAGTTAAATGTTAGGGCTGAGAAAAATGGGGGGTATTTTAAGCTGAGATTTGACGTTTAGGAAGACCTCCGTTGATCAGAGTGCAGCCTTACCTGTGTAATCTCACCTGTTCATAATGCACAGATGAAACAGAGACTTGAGTATTATTCTAAAAAAGTCTTATTACTGAGAGAACTCAAGCTGGGAATTCCTCCTGTATATGAAGGTGGGTGCTGAGGTTATTGCAAGACCAGCAGTGGTCCTTTATATACTTATGCTATGGGATGCAGACTTAATATAAAATATTTTAAGCCATTTTGGTGGCTCCTAAGGTGTTAGAGAGACTCAGTGTGATATTCCCGATCGTGCATCTAGCATGCACTGATAAAGCCAGCCTTCCTTTTTCCGCCTTTCTCTTGGCCCTTCCCAACCTCAGATATATTTTTCTGTTTCTAACCCAGACTTGATTTCTTTTTTATGTCTGTGTTCTTTTATACTTGTGTTGACATTTAACCTATAGTCATAGAATGGCAGAGATGTTTGGACGTTTAGCGGTTGCTCATTAACATTTGCTATGTTTGGCTAGAGGTATATATAGCTTAGCGGCACAAGTGCCTGCCTGGCAAGCACGAGGTCCTGAGTTCGATTCCCAGTACCAAAAAACAAACAATCCCGCCCCCCCCAAAACCCCATTTGCTATGTTTATGTATTAATCTGGTCCTTTCTGCTTAGTAAACGAGCAGTCCGAAGCCCCGAGAGGTCCTGGCGGTGTCTGGCGGTGCTGCCAGTGCCAGCTTCTTTGTCTAGAGAAGCTCTAATAAGCTGACCCTGCTATACTTAGAAAAGCTGAATTTGAAACACATTCTCTGGCCTCGTCCCTTTCTTTTGAATGTGGGCCAGTTACTAACGGACTACAAGGAGTGTTACTTGCAGGCCTCGCACCGGGCCCACCTCATGGCAGCGGTGCCATATGGACTTGTTGGAAGGGAACCCACACTGGGGACAGAGTGTGAGGTTCCTGGGCAGCGAGTAGGGCTGGCACGGAGCAGTACTCAGCCCCGAGGTGCACGAGTTTACCCTCCGCCTTTCCTCCAGGGTGGAGAGCGGTGTGTGGTGCTCCCAGAGAGCATGTGTCCTGCCTTAGCAAGTGGATGTCTTTACACGACTCTTTCCTCCCCCAGGTGCTGTCCCATAACCTGTGCACGGTGCTGAAGGTTCCTCACGACCCCGTGGCCCTGGAAGAGCACTTCCGCGATGATGATGAAGGGCCCGTCTCCAATCAGGGCTACATGCCGTATTTAAACAAGTTCATTCTGGAAAAGGTACGACCCCAGCCCCTGGGCCTTGCTGTGCCTGATTCGTGTTTGTCTGGTGGGTGCGGGGCCGAGGTGCGAGGCGACCACGGGGGAAGGGTGAGCGCAAGGCGCTGATGGCGTGGGCTCGTTCCTTGGCGATGAGGGCCGTGCTTTATGTTCACTTCTGCGAGTCCTTTCTCAGGGAGCTGTATTCATTTTGAAAAACGTGGTTCCCTGGGTCCCGACAGTGTGAGAGCGTGGGTGTGAAGGCGTTGAGTGTGAGTGTGAGGGGGTGACAGTCGTCTTTACTGTCTGGAAATTACCCTGCGGGCTTTCCAGCTTAGACTATTCAAGGGACCACTTGGATGCTGCCTCTAAGTTATATTCTGAGGAAAGATTTTATAAAATCCTATCATGTTTAAGAACCCAAATAAAACCTATTGAATTTTCTGTCATGTTCCTTTTTTATTAAAAATTTACATATGTGTAAATGTACTTCACATGTAAATTTTTTAAAAATTTAGAGTAGGTGATACATAAAAAACATAAAAGTGTACAAATTTATGGGGTACCCTGTGAGATTTCCATACATGTATGTGTATGTTGTTTAATGCTTAAGTCAGGTTCAAGCAGTCTTCTCAAACACTTTTCATTGCTTTTGATGACAACATTAAAAATCTCCTTTTCCAGCTTTTTGAAGTACCTTATCACTGTCTGTGGTCACCCTGCTGCCTGTCGGAGCTTACTGTTGTCTAACTGTAGCTTCATATCCATTGGGCAGCTTCTCCCCTCCTTTCCAAATTTTGAATGTAATACATGAAAAGAATCAAATAATCTAGCTGGGAGTGGTGGGGCATACTTATGATTCCAGCACTCTGGAGGCTGAGGCAGGAGGATCACTTCGAGTTTGAGGCCATCTTGGGGTACAGGCAAGATCCTGTCTCTCTGTCTCTCTCTTTTCTTTAAAGATCCTGTCTCTAAACAAAACAACAAAACAGCTGGGCGGTGGTGGCGCACTCCTGTAATCCCAGCACTTGGGAGGCTGAGGCAGGAGGATTACTGTGAGTTCGAGGCCAGCCTGGTCTACATAGTGAATTTTTTTTTTTTTTTACATAGTGAATTGAAGGCAGCCTGAACTGTGCAGTGAGACCCTGTCTCAAAAAGACCAAAAAAAAAAAACCAAACAAAGAAACCCCCCAAAATTAAGACGAAACAAAACAACAAATAATATAAACTGTTGGTACATATAAATAAATTTTATTAATTGGTGATTAAAATGTTACAAAAAAGCCAGGTGTAGTGGTGCATGCCTGTAATCCCAGCACTTGGGAAGCTGAGGCAGGAGGTTGCTGTGAGTTTGAGCCCGGCGTGGGCTACACAGTGATCTCAAGGCCAGCCTGAACTGCATAGTGAGACCCTGTCTCAAAAAGACAAAAAAAAAGTTATGAAAAGTGGTACAAGTTTGCTATTAAACAGGTGGTTAGTAGAGAAATATGTGATATAAAAAGTGACTGTTGTTCCTTTACTTACTAGTTTGATTCTCCAAGAGTAGCCATTGTTTGGTGAATATCTTTGTAGAGTTTTTGGTTTGTTTGTTTAGTATTTTCTTTCTTTTTTCTTTTTTTTTTGAGATGGGATCTCTCTGTATAGCCCAGGCTGGCCTCAAGATTATGATCCTCCTGCCTCGGGCTCTTGAGTAGTTGGGTTACAGGGCTGTGCCACTGTGCTTGGTTGGTAGAACTTTTTAAAATTATACGCAGATACCCACACACACTCTTACACACACATGGTGTTTTGTTTCTGTATGAGTAGGATCATCCTATACATGTGCTTCTGCAGTTTATTTTTCAGGCAGGCGCTTGTGCCACTGAGCTGTATCCCTGGTTCTGTTTTTCCTACTAATACTTAGTGTTATCTTTCCAGGTCTTACATTTAGTTTAGGTGTGAAGGTAATTCTCATTTCAAAAGCTGTGGAAGTCCTACTCTTACCTTCTAATAACACCAGCCATGATGTTTTTTGATATTTTTAACAAAATGCTTTTCAGAGGGTAACAATAATACTTCATTCATTCATTCATTCATTCAGACAGGGTCTTGCTATGTAGTCCAGGCCAGCACTGAATTTGCTCTGTAGCCCAGGCTGGCCTCAGAGTGGCGATTCCTGCCTCAGCCTCATGAGTGCTGGTATTATTGTGTGTACCAACATGCTTGGCATTGATAATACTTTTCTTTTTGATATAGGGTCTCACTTTGTATTTCAGGCTGACTTTAAACTCACTATGTAGCTTAGGCTGACCTCAAACTCAGCAATCCTTCTGCCTCAGCCTCCTGCTTACTGGGATTACAGGTGTGCACTACCACGCCGGGCAATACATTATTTTTTTATTTTTTTTCTGGCAATACTTCATTTATTTATTTATTTACTTTTTTAGTTTTTCTCCGGTACCGGGAATTGAACTCACGACCTCACGCTTGCCAGGCAGGTGCTGTGCTGCTGAGCTAAATCCCCCGCCCTTCCGGCAATACTTTTAAATTGAAAAGGAAATACCTTAAGGGGGGGGATATAACTCAGTGGCATAAGCGCCCGCCTGGCAAGACCAAGGTCCTGAGTTTGGTTCCTGGTACGAAAAAAAAAAACAAAGAAAATACCTTAAGAAAAGGTATTTTCTTGTTTAGTATTTTCTTTCTTTTATTAATTTTCACAACTATTTATATATTTTTCTATGATTTCTTCAAATTTTTATTATATATGTATATATATATAAATAAATTTAAAATGTATTTAAGTGTTTTTTTCACAATAGTGGGGAATGAAATTTAGATTTTTTTATTGGAGAGAAGATCTTAGTATATGTGCAGGCTGACCTTGAACTCACAGATCTTCCTACCTCGGCCTCCTGAGGGCTGGGGTTACAGATGTGCACAACCATGCTTGGCTAGTGCTTTTTTTAAAATATAAAAACAAAGTACAGTGATTAACATTTATAATAGTAATTTAAATTAGTTATTTGGAAAATACTGTAACAAAATATTCTTTAAGATTCCTTCCTTTCTCTTTTCTTTTCCTCCCCCTTTCTTTCTTTCTTTCTTTCTTTCTTTCTTTCTTTCTTTCTTTCTTTCTTTCTTTCTTTCTCTCTTTCTTTTCTTTCTTTCTTTCTTTCTTTTTTTCTTTTCTTTCTTTCTTTTTTTTCTTTCTTTCTTTCTTTCTTTCTTTCTTTCTTTCTTTCTTTCTTTTTTTCCTTCCTTTCTTTCTTTTCTTTTCTTTTCTTTTCTTTTCTTTTCTTTCTTTTCTTTTCTTTCTTTCTCTTTCTCACCAAGATTTAGGTTTAAGGCCAGCCTGTACTACATAGTGGGACCCTATCTCAAATAAAAACGAAAAACAAACAAAAAACAAACAGTGTAAGCCCAGGGTGACTTTGAGCTAGTGATGGTTCTGCCTCAGCCTCCCAATATATAGTACTTTTTGTATCTACATCTGTTATTTGCCATCAGCCTCACAATGCTGTTTCCTGATTTGTATGTGTGTTAAGTTTTGTGTTAATATATGCTTTTTTTTTTTTTTTTTTTTTTTTAATGAGACAGAGTCTCTCCATGTAGTTCAGGCTGGCCTTGAACTCACTGTTTAGCTCATGGTAATCCTGCTGCCTCAGCCTTCAAAGTACTGTGATTACAGGCATGCCACCACACCCAGTTGATGTTTTCAAAGTATTTCCCTGCCAGAGATACTAGATTTGTCTTAAATGTGCTTTCCTCCCTTGCTTTGTGTATATTTTTAAATTGACAAATAAAAATATTATATAAACTTACAGTGTATAACATGGTGTTTTGAAATGAGTGTACATTGTGGGATGGCCAGATCAAAGTTATGTGTGCATTACCTCACATACCATTTATTTGCAGTGAGAATGCTTAAAACCTACTCTCAGCAATTTAAGTACCTGCACGCTACATTATATTAACTATGATCACAATGTTGTGTGGTCATGCTTTGCTAGGAAAAAGAGGTAAGCTACATGTAGTGAGATGTAAGATTTAACCAGACTCACACACGCTGCATGATGTATGATTCTGTGTATGTGAAATGTCCCAAACAGGCAAAGAGAGAGAAAAGGGCAACTGAGGTTGCTGGGGGCATTGGGAGGTTGAAATGCCACGTGGCTACTAATGGGCCTGGAATTTCTTTTGGGGATGATGGAAATGTTTGTGATAGTGGTGATTGTGAAGTTTTATGGCTGTCTACTAAATCCCATCACACTGTACACTTTAAAAGGGTGAATTTTATGACATAAGCATTATATTGCAGTAAAATGATTTATCAAGCTAGGTGTAGTGGTGTACGC